CCACGCATTGTTAAGTCAGGCACAAGTGCCCTCTCTAGTTAAAAGTCTTCCAAAAGGGTTTGCTGTGATCACTGAGTCCCTCAGCAAAATGTACAGGGATGGGGCAGCCACAGCTTCCCTGGGCAATCTGTGCCATGGCCTCACCACCCTCACAGGGAAGAATTCCTTCCCAATAGCCCATCTAACCCTGCCCTCTGGCAGTGGGAAGCCATTCCCCCTTGTCCTGGCATTCCAAGATCCCTCTCCAGCTCTCTTGGAGCAGGCATACTCGGGAGAGCTGAAGGGAAAGGTTCCCCTTTGGCAATCTCAAACCTGACAACTTCAGGGGAAAGGGGGATTCAGCTGTGCCAGACAGGGATTGCCCTGCCTTGCAAGGGAGGGAGAGCTACTGCTATGCTGGCACTACAATTGTTTGGGAAGCATCCAGGGAAAACAATTAAGACTGTGCTATACTCACCTCCTGTCTGAGTGATGAGGAAGACAGAGGCTCTTGGAGAAGGTGCCACCACCAGATGGGCTGTGGTGGGGAAGGAAAACAGATCCCAGTCCTGAAAGGGAAGTGGCAGAGAGAGCACTCTGCGAGACAGAGTGCTCAGGGCTGGAGCAATTCGGGATAGAGAAGGTGCCTTTGGGAGGCACAGGCACTCGTGGCTGGGCAGTGAAACAGCGCCGAAAGCCCGGGCACTGCTGGCCCAGCAGCAGCAGCTCCACGACAGCTGCTGGAGCGTGTTTGGCTGCGAAGAGCTTCGCAGAGCCCTGGGAAGGGCAGAGCTGGGACTCCACAAATAACAACACAGAACAGGGGGTCAAAGCAGAGAAAAAAGGAGTCCTAGTGCTGCATGGAGCAAGGCAGGAGCAGCCTGGCTGTGCAATCCCACCTGTGCTGACCCAGCCTGGGGGAACTTCCAAAGCACTGCCCTGGTAACAGCTGGAAAGGAGAGAGGCCCTGCTGTTCCCAGCATTCCAAGACAGGGAGGCAATGGGCAAAGGCCAAATTTGGAGAAAGAATTAATAATTTGGTTTTTTGGGAGAACCAAACAGTCCTGGACAAAAAGAACTTTAAAGGACTAAATAAATGATTAGGCAGTCCATGATGCAGGACTGGGGGGAATAACTACACTAAGGCAGGTCAACAAAGCACACGTACAAGATTTCCTGGGATCCAGTCAGAGCCATAAAGCTCCTCTTGTGGGCCCCAGAACATGGAAAAGCCATGGGAGCAGGCTGCAGCGGTTCTGTGTCATTGAGGTATTTTCTGTCTTTATTATGAAGTTCCTCTTCCTGCAGAAGCAGCCGAAGAGCAGCAGGTGTGAGGGGGAAGGAGCCTAAACCAGGATGGTGGGGACAAATTAGCAGGTGCCTGCAGAATATCACTAACCCCGTCTGCGATTCCGGAGCCGACGTAGGTGTTTTATTTTCTAGCCGTGTTAGAAAGACTGTCAGAAAATAATTAGGCTCTGTCAACAGTTCCCCTATTCCCAGATTACTTACGACTTCCTGACTCATTAGAGCTGCCGAGGCTGGCAGGAAACCTGTTTTATAGTAATTTCTGTTAGTGGTGTCCCTGGAGGAGAGACAACACGGTGCGGGTGACAGCAGCGTGTGACACCAGCGTGTGACATTGGCGTTGACTTCACCCTCGTGATGGAGACACCGGGTTGTGCAGGGCGGTCACTGCTGGCAGGAGACACCGTCCCCTCTGTCCCCATGCTGGTGACAGGGAACAGGACACTTGGCTGTGGGGCCAACGCTGGGCAAGGTCCAGTTTTATGTGCACGGGATTTGCTGGTGTCCTGAAAACGTTCCTGGTTCGTGAGGGTTTTAAAAACAGGGGGGATGCATCAATCTCATTAAGGAGGTCTTTCCATTTAATCCTGGAATACAGGCACCCTAACCTCCCTGTCCCACAGTGGGTGCTGTCATGTGCAAACACACGTTGGCTGTGTCAGGACTCTTCTGGGGCCCATTGGCCCCTGAATTTTACCATTTCTGTCTCAGACACCCAGCAAATCCTCCTCAGTGCTCAGAGGAGCAGGACCATGCACAGTAGTGACCCTGCAGTGCTTGGAAGCAGATTTAAAAATAGTTCTGAAATCTTCTGTTTATTTCTCTGATTTTTGGATCCAATTCCTCTAGATCAAAGATAAATAAAGTTTGCAGTGAAACAGTGCTTGCCAAGAACAGAAAGCCCAACCTTCTTCCCCAAAACTTGTACTTCCCACTCAGTTCATGTCCTTTTTCCCTACATTATCTCAGCTGAAATCCAGGACCAAAGCAGATGTTCCCATTGATTTTCCATGCCCTTTTCCCCAGTCAGCACCTTGCTGACCTCCAGCTCCCTCCTGTGAGGCACCAACCAGGTACTGCTGCCCTGAGGCTGCTTATGATACCGTGAGATCCATAATTAGGCAAATTTTAAGAGCCCGATTCTGCTGACAGCCATGAGAGTGGGATGTTACATCCTTTTATAAGCAGACATGCAAATAGGACACAAAATCTATGGTTTCCATGTCATCTCTCCATTGAAAACAACCCTCCTACACACTCTTCTCATGGAGGTGAGTGTGGGAGCCCTGGGACCACAGGGCAGTGGTGCTGCTGTCACACACCATGTGGGTTCTTCCACAGCAAACCCATGCCCATGGCTGCTCTGCCACTTGCTCATGGCACTTCCAAAGAGGTGACTGGGATTATCAGGATGATGTAGGGAGCTGCCCTGCTGCAGTTTTTGAAACTCCCATTGTAATTACAGCATGGAATATTGTATGGACTCAGGAGCTCTACCAACAGGAAGGCAAATCCTTTGTCTGCCATAGCTCACCAACACTGGATATTTGAGCCCTGTAACATGGGGGTTACACACTCCAGGGTAACAGGGATGGAGTAACTAAACATCCCACACCTGGGGGAAGACAAGATCCTGTACCTGTTTGTTCATAATAATGAGTTTATTGAACACAGCAAACACACAGCCTGGCACCTCCCGCCAGGCAGACAATCTCCAGGTACAAGAAATGGCATTTTGTGGGTGCCTGCATCACGGAACATGCACCAACTCCCCCAGGAACACCCTCAGACCTCCCACCCCTCCTCCACAAACCATGAGCCTAATTAACAGTTACATTCTGCGTCATCAAGGAGCTCGGGGTGGGGGAGAGGCAGAAAAGGCCGGCACTGCACTCCCAGGCAGCCCTAGCACTCACATTAACCACAGGAGCTGCCTCCGTGCTCGTATTTCCAGCTCCTCGCTCACCCTCTCCCCCGCAGCACCTGAAGGAAGCGGAGCACAGCCCAGATTGAATTCCACCCACAGAGGTTTCTGCGGGGTGAAAGCTGAGACGGCTTTGTCCCGGCATTGTGCGGAGACCTGGCGGCAAACACGGGCTGTGCGGGGACATGGGGACAGAGCTTGGCAACTGCCTCTTTGAATCCTTACACCAAGTGGGTACACAAGCTTTGTTAATGCCTCCCTTGCTGTCCTTTCACACCTGTGGGACTCATCCTTGAGCCAGCCAGAAGAGAATGAGAAGAGGCAGCTTCAGCACCACACCAGAGGACGCCTGGGAAGCACTGGGCTCTCTCCAGCTGCCTCCATCCCAGCCGTGCTGCCCCTTGTCATTAATGGAGAAGTGAGAAGACCTCAATGCGGCTTCTGCAAATGCATCTCAAGCACCCCGAGATCTTTGAGGAGCTGGCACACTAGAGGCTACTTGGGGTTCCAAAGGCACTGGGCAAGGATCTTACCAGCTCCAAGAAGCCTTGGAACAAGACTGCGAGTCTCCCCTGGGCAATTAATCCATTAAGAGGAAAAAAAGGTTCCATAACATATGGGAATCAACAGGCAACTTCCCCAATAATGGAGCATCAAGAGCTCCTAGCAAGGGTCAATGATGGCAAGAAGTTCTTTAGAGCAACCAAAATGCAACTGAATGTACAGTGCCAGGAAAATGGTATTAAAAAAAATGTCAAAATCCAGGTAAAAGTGCTGCCTATGGAGAAAACAGGTGTGTTTCCAGCATCACACCTGCCCCTCTCCTCAGGCGATCCTGGTGCTCCTGGATCCAAACCACCTGACCTTTGTGGAATCTTGCACTGCCCCGAACAACCTCAGCTCAGCAGGGTGATACTGCTGCCAACATGTGCCTTCCAGCTTCAAAACCTTTCCTTAATACAGAATCCACTCTGAACTTCCCCAAACTGAGTTCATGGTTTACAATTTTGTGTTAAATGTGAAGCCCCGGCAGTGCTCTTACTCCAGGTTCCCTGGCCTTCAGTTTTAAAAAGCAGAGTGTAATCCTACATCCAAGAACTTCTTCTACACAACCTTCTGGAGGAATGGTAGTTTTGTGGAAGAGAGAAGAATCCCCACAACCCGTGGGAGGTTTTCACAGCAGGACCCCAGGGTATCACTGCCCTTTCTGCTGCAATCCCAGGGGATGACCAGCTGTGCTGGAGGTCTGGATTGGGAGCTGGTGGCACAGCTCTGCTGAAGGGCAGCGGGCACCAGGACACCACTTCCCTTTATTTCACAGATCCCGGAGCCCCAGATCAGTGTGCTGGAAGAGCTGGAAAGGTCCCTGCCTCAGCACAGGAAGCAAACTGTGCACTGTCTGCACTTCAAGGCCGACTGCACAGCACACAAAAACAGGGCAAGAGGAAAATAGTCTCCTCTATTCCCAGACAAAACCAGCATTATCCTCAAATCCCAAATGGATTTCTTTTCCCTTTTCATTTTGGGAGAAGAGACCAGATTTAATTGTTTCCCCCATCTGGTGCACATTCACAGTACGTAAGAATGAGTTTAGTTTCCCATACATGTGTCAGATCATGACCTCAGGGAGAAAGAAGAATCTGCATTTCCAGAAGCCACATGCCAGTTCCCACTGGCTCTGCCACGCACAGCACGAAAACACCCAAACCAACCAGGATTCAATGTAAGTTGTTCACAGGATATACATTCCAAAGGGACAAGTACAAATATTACAAAATGAACAGAATAGCTTTTAAAATCCATGTATTTGTTTAACCGTTAAAAACAGACAGGAAGAGAAAGAGGTGGCCAAACCAACAACTCCCTGCCACTCCAATTAGTGTTGCCTGCACGCTCTGGGAACGTTCTTGCGGAACCAAAGCCTTGGACATCTTTTCTGGCAAGGGCTGGAGACAGCTGGCAGATGATTCCCGACTGTGTGAAGGGCTGAGGCAGAGCCACAGGCCCAGGGCAGCTCTTTCATGTGTCTGGCTTAAAGCAAAGGCATTGAGAGAAAAGGTTGTCTGGGGGTTATGTCAGAGAGCGAGAAAGAGCGAGAGAGAGCACGAGGGACATCACACCAATGTCAGGGAATAACAGAAGTTCCTATTTCCCTGCCACTGCAAGAGGGAAGTACAACAGATCTGAGGGTCCCAGAGTTAGGATAGAGTTTGGAATTAGCTTGGTCCCATGGATCTATCAACATCACTTGACAGACTCAGAGCTAAAAGCAAGGCAGGAAGGCTAAGGGCAGCAGAACTCCACGTGTTGCACACACACTCTCTCTCTCCCTCTTTTCAGGCTGTCTGAGGCCCCAGCAAGGCCAGGAAAGCTCAGGAGCTTTTCCCATCCGATATGTAATAGCGATACATTAAACCTAAGGCCAGTGCTCCGAAGATGGGGATCAGCCATGTCGACCAGAAACTATGGGGAGAGAAAAAGAAACAACAAACTAAAACATACACACCACAGAAGCCAGAAGAAAGCACCTAGTTAATAATCCATTCCCAATATTCATCCCTTGTTAGACATCCAGGGAATGCCTGGGAGCTGTACCCACAGGTTGGCCCCCTAACCATGGCCACAGCTGGGGCAGGCCCCACTGTCCCCGTGCACAGGCTCTGCCAGCCCCCAGGAGAGGCCCAAGTGTGGCTTCGTGTCTTATAAAATAGCAGCTGGATGGCTGAAGTTTCCAGCTTGGCACATCCAGAGACCAGTGGGGGGGGTTTGTTGTTGGTTTGGTTTTATTTTCCTTAAATAAGTCAGGCTGTAATTTGTGTTGTACAAACAAGACTGTTGACTCAAGGATGGCAACGGCTACAGCTGTGCCCCAGTAAATCTGCCTTGCTCAGACTCCAGAGCCACAGGCTCACCCTCAGCAGCCTCCTGAACAAAACCTCCTGCACGGGCTGCAGGAGACCAGGGCCCTGAGCTGGTTTTAAGGATTTTCAACTAGACTAGGCTGATCATGGTAAAATCCTCCAAAAACCCACCCATCACTGTGTTGTGCCACCCCTCGGCCCACAGCGACCACCCAAAGAACCCCTGTGGTTCCAGGGATGCAGCCAGCGCCGTGCAACAGCAGCACATGGGGCAGAGAATTCCAAACACTGGGATGCTGGCTCTGCCCAGCACAGAGCAGAGCCAGGCTCACATCCAGCAGGGAGGTGCACACTCTGGCACCAGAGATACTTTGGGGTATCTGCTGCCAGGACACTGCAGTACATCCCCAGGGATATTCCTGCCCTTTGGAGTTAATATCAGCTCTACAAACAGGGTCCCAAGCCCTCCATTTGTCACTCTTATTTTCAGGAGATACTGTACCTGGTTTGGCCTGAGGATGTCCTGCTTGGATTCTGGAGGAGGAAAGAGTGAGTTAGCAGGGGAACAAAGAAACATTAAACGTGTGCTAATAAGACAAGCCTGAACGTGTGATCACAAATACAGAGGGAAAATAACCCTCTTCTCCCAAACACCCCCTGTCACCAGTGTGGCTGTTTTTGGGGATGTTTGCTGTCATCTTCATGTTCTTTCCATCAATCCAATTGGTCCCACCCAGTCACCAGCTTCATGCTGGAACTTGCACCCCTCTCAAAATAAGGCCTTGCTTATTGCATCACAGTTTTGGGGTGGTTTTGTGCTTCCCCCTTATTTATTTGCACGTTACTGATTCTCTCTCTTGCTGCCATCTTTAAATTACACTGGAACCTCCTTTTAATACAGATGATGCGCTCTGGAGAGAGCCCTCAGCTGTGCATAACATGCTGGACTTATTGATCAGAAGAGAAAAATACTTGAATAAAGTATTTAACTCAGATCTAAGAGAGCTACTCTGATCATCACTGATTTCTGTGCACATTTTCAGCATGAATCAGAGTTGAATGAAACAATACATTTTAAGGTGAATATGTACATAATCACACAGCTCCTTATCTAAGCATAGGCTTTACCCAGCCTGAGCTACCCTTGATTTCCCTGCAGACAGCTCCCTTCTGGATTTCTGCTGCTCTGCAAGTGGTCCTGCTCAGAGGAACATCTCCTGAAAGCCCTGTTGAAGGCAGAGCTGTGCCCTGTCCAGGCCTCCCAGCCCAGCCAGCTGCGAGGTACATGTTTACCTCCCAGCTGGGATTCTATTTATTGCCTTTTCCCTCTCCCCATCCCTTCCAAAGGCATTTTTGCAACACTCTGCCCTGTTCTAGTCCAGGAGTACCTGAGTGTTAGGCAACACCACTGATCCCTGAGGCAGTTAACAGAGAATTCCTGTTTGCCAGCCAGCCCCTGTTGCTGTCTCCTGGCTCGGAGGGAACAACAAGGAAACCAGTTCCGTGGTCAGGACACAGCCAGAAATGCAAAAAATGGTCTGTGGCTCAAGGTGTGGAAAAAACATCACTGCTGCCAGCAGAGAAAGGGCACAAAAACTCACTTCCAATTTCACACTGAGGTGCCCACTGAGGTTCAGAACAAAAACAAAGGTAGAATTTGCTTGGGAACTTTATTCATGTGTAGTTTGCGTAAACATAAAGCCACAAGCTCCACAGGAAAAAAAGAGGGGGGAAAAAACCTCCAAAAGACATGTGACATTAAATAAAAGCAGAAAACTGAAACGCTGAGAGCTTACCTTAGAAGCTTCCTTTCCACGATCGTTCTGTCAAGCGGAAAAAGAAGAAGAAAGAGGTAAGTGCTGACTTCAAAGGAAGGCTGCAGCCTTTATGAGGGAATTGTTCTGTACAAAGGTAATTGTCTGGGCTCAGTTTTCAAAGAAGTCCTTCCTTTGGCACCCAAAGGCAGGCAGAAAGGTGTTTGTGCCCCTGGGAATGCTCACCCTCCTGAGCTCAGAATTACAAGGCAAAGATGAATTATGCTTCCACCAGCTACAGAGGGAACCCATGAATTCAGCTTAAGTGCCCCGATTTAAATGAAGTGTGAAATCTGTTCTGAATGCTGGAAGGAGAAGACTAATTTAGTTCAGTTTCCCCAACAGAAACCCTGGACAACACAGGCACTGCCTGAGCCCCTCAGCTACTAACTTATTTCACAGACACAGCCTGGTGTGTTTGTTTGGGGTTACACGAGGCACTCACCGGATGGACCTCTCCGATGTAGTACTGCTTCAGCATTTCCCTGGCATCTGTGGAATGCCCCACGTCTTCAAAGCTCTCAGTGGCATCTCTGCCAGCTTGCTCGAGCAAGACCTCTTCTCCACCTGGGTGCTGGAAGAGAAGTGTCCAGGTGAGCCAAGGGCTGGATGCAGAAAGGCACTGAGGATGTCATCAGCCTTCCTCCCAAGCTGCACCTCTGGATGCCTCAAGCAACACCATCAATAAAATGTGCCAGAGGTTCAATTGTCCAGCCTCTCCTCAGGAATTCACAGACACCACTGGAGGAAAGGAAATTCTACTTCTTCAGGTACTACAGAAATGGTGTTTGGCTGACTCTGCACACCGATGTGCAATACTGAACTCGATCCTGTGTGCAACCACCAGTGACGCGAGGGGAGGAAACCATGAAGTACCACAAAAATTACACTGTTTAATACCATACACTGATTTCAGAGATCCAGAAATTGGCTACAACAGCCAATTCCCCAGGGAGCTCCACAGTGACAGTGCCACTGCTGTGGGTGGCAGCTGGTCACAGCTGACTCTCAGATGGGATGAACTGGCACAAACCCTGGGTGTGGCTCTGTTGTCTCTGGTGGGCTGGGCTCTGTCCACTGTCCATGTCACAATTCCAGGAACAGCCTGGCAATGGAAAGCACGACCCATAGACCTAGCAAAGGCCAATCCCTTTACAGCCCGAGTGTGAACCACCAGCTAATCCAGTTACACCAATAAAGTGGTCACACATCCCAGGGCACTCACAGGAACTAACCCAGTTTTCCAGGGCTTCAGGCAACCAGCCTTGAATTGGAGAAGAGACGCTGGGCTACATTTCAGATCAAAGGACCAACACACCTCCTTCTCTCTGTCACATCCTTCTCCTTCCCACAGACACAGAGCAGTTACCACCTCCCCCTTCCTTCAGTTTGTCTGCTTTTGCTGCCAAAAGTCTGAATATTCCCTCCAGGCCATCCCCCCTGGTACCAAACACAGGGTGGACACAAACCAGCCCCCTCAGTTGCGCCGGTGGGTTGCTGCAGGCAATCCTGCAATCCTTGTATCACAGCTCTGTATTTGGAATAAAGCCCTTTATTATCCAGTATGTCACCAAACCAACACAGAGATTTCTCAGGAGCCACAAAGGGCAAGGTGGAGGGACACAGTTTGCCACAGGCAGTTATCAGGTGGCTGAGCTGGGGCATGGTGAGGCTCCATGGCTCATTCCCTGTGTCCAGCTGCAGCTCTTCTGGCTGCCCCTTCTCCCACACCAACCCCCAGGCTCGCTCAGTCCCAGAGGAGTCAGATCAGGGACTGCTGGATGTCACCTGTTCACACAGAACCACTGTCCAGCTTCCAGCTAAGATCCACTGAAAAGCTGCCCATTTATCTAAGACTTTCAGAATATCTCCTTAGGGTTGTCTCACCAGAAATCTCATATTTCAGACAGGAAAATACCTGAATTTTAAGCAGACAACCTTTTGTTCCTAATAATTCACTCTAGAAGGATAGACAAAACCCAGCAGCCACAGGGAACGTGCAGTGGATCTTTCAGTGACATCCAGTCTCTCCACAGGCAAGAGACAAGAGGAAGGATAAAATTCAAGAGAGAAGGAAAACAGTAAAGCTCACTCTTCTTTACATCTCTGGCTCTGAAGCCTTTCTGTGCACTTGCTAAATCCACAATTATTTATTCGTGCACATCTGTCTTCCACTGCAACCTCCAAGCCTAAAAGAAAAAGACCTTCAAAATATTTTGGCATCTCCTATTTCTGAAGGGCTCTGTTCTCCAGACAGCACCGCTGCAGCCAAACAATTCCTACCTTGTCCTAGCCCAGCAAACGTAACCCCAGACTATTTGTACAGGAAGTCATTGACTCTGCCACAAAACTGCCCAAATCTGCAGCTCAGCTGCTGCAGGAAAACATGGAAACTTGCAAACCGTGGGGGGGAAGGAGACTACTTCCAGGGGAAACAATGGCTGGAAAATGTCAGTTTCTGACAAGAAACAGCCAAAAGCAAACCAGAAGGAGAGAGGTGACAAAAAAATGGGTTCTCTGTGTCACTGGACCTTCAGCACACACTTCAGTAACAGTGACTCGGAACTGAGGGCACGCAGCAAAGGCCTCTGAGAGCACATCCCAAACTTCCACAGGGAGAGAGCCTGGAGTCCCCTCCCCACGAACTCCAAGAACCTGTCTGCAAATGTCTGGCTGGGAACTGCTGGTACAGACCTGCTGGAGACACAAAGGAGCTCAGCAGCAACACTAAGCTCCAGGACTAATTAGATCACTGTGTCAGGTAAGAGATAAGATCACCAGGTTGAGGAGGAGTGAAACTTTCATTCCTAGTGCTCAGAGTTAAAGAAATAAACCAGGAGAGGGAAGAGTATTCCTGTGCAATAATCATGTGCCAGCACCATCCAGTGCAGAACCAGGACGAGCAGTCACCTGGAGGAATGATCCACACATCCTGCACAGAGCTGGGAAAAGGCAGGGAAAAGGTTTTCCAAAAACACCTCTGCCAAGCTGGAGCAAGTCAGCATGAGGAAACTCAGATGCCTGGTGCTCCTCCTTCTCTTGAAGAACACTATACCTGAAACCAAGGGAGCGATTTGGGTCAGTGGTGTCACAACCCAGGCTCCTTCCACCTGGAAACTGGAAATGGATTCCTGCTCACACTTATCAGGGGGATCAGGAATGGCAGCGTGTGCTGAGACACAGAGCTCTGGGGGCTGCTGCTGTGGCTTGTGGGCTCAGATAACAGACACAGAGCTTCCTGGAGAAACGTGGATCTCCAGACTCCCCAAGACATAAGTGAAAATGGAGAGAAACTGTATCCCTCCAGCAGAACCGTAAATAAGTCTCTTGCAGATTGTGCACAAGCTAAAAGCTCAGATTTTGATACTGTTGTGGTGAAGTGTGAGCCTGACAGACCCCAGAGCACCTGCAGGAGGTACAGCTGCCTCCCTCCACCCCCATCACCCCAAGCACACAGCCCCTCCTGCTCCAGCCACAGCCTGCACCTGCTTATCTAGAGCACTGCAGCCAGGAGCAATAACAGGTATCCTGGTGCGGTCCAGTTACCCAGATCTGGGAGAAAATAGATCACCATAAGGCTCTCTTAGATTTTAAAATAATCCCCTTTCATTTCAGGCACTCGCAGGCTCTCTGAAGCACAGGAGATTGCATCTCCCAGAAACACCTGCAACACCCCAGCTGCTGTCTTTGCACACTCCTGGATTCGGTTTGTGTTCTTACAATTCAGTGGATTTTGTTATGTGACAGATATCTTGTTACTCCTATTACACATAGTGTGAACTGGAGTCTTTAACTGGCCTACACTTCAGCAGCACAGGGATTTTGGGTTGGCTGACCTGCAGTGTGTAATTTGCAGGAATTGTGAAGCCAAATTCAGCCTTTCAGCGGTGACTTCTTCAGGATTGCACAACCCCACCCCCGGAACGTGCCAGTACTCTCAGCAATGCCAGCCAAATCTGTGAGCAAAGGCCAGGAAGGGCACCCACCAGCTCCTGCTCCCGTGAGCACAAGGGGCAGGGGGGCACGCGACAGCACCTGAGCTCTGCAGCTCCAGCTCCCCAGAGAGCTGCAGCTCCAGAGCACACCAGCACTCCTGGCTCCCTGTGGCTGCAGCTCCAGAGCACACCAGCACTCCTGGCTCCCCAGAGAGCTGCAGCTCCAGAGCACACCAGCACTCCTGGCTCCCTGTGGCTGCACGTTGCTCCCAGCACTCCAGAGGGTAACAGACACAAAGAGGAGTTTTGCCAATAAATTAGGCCTTGATCTACAGCTCCCCTGTGCCAGCAAGGGGTGTGCACAGCACAGTGTTGTGTCAGCCACGCTGGCACAGCTCAACAGTGCCCTTATTCTTCTCCCTCGTCCAAGTAGGTCTTTTTATGTCAGAAAAACACAAATGGGAAAAAGGGGCTGGAAAGGACAGAGTGAAATATCATCTCAGGGTGAAACACCATCTCAAGGTGACACTCAGGGCACTGCTAAGCCTGGCTTGCTGGAGGGACTGAAGCGTTTTCTGGGCTCACTTATAATTCCAAAGGTGCCCCAGGGAGCAGGTCCCAGGCTCCATCTCAGAGAGAACATCGAGGTGAAGACTCAGTCTCCCTGCAGTGTCCCCACTCTGAATCACAGCAGAGACACGTGTAAGACAAGACTCACAGCTCCTGCATCTGCTGTCCCAAGCTCCAGCTCGTTCTGCCTCTTCCTAAACCCTAACCCAGCATTTTCTTATTCAGAAACCAGCTGTAAATGGCTTTTCCAAGTTTTTGCCTGGTCTTCCCCTGCACCTACTTAGCCTCTGTGCACCCACAACTCCCTCCCATGAAACTGTCCTGCTTCCACCTTGCACATCTCATCCCACCAAACTGTCCTGCCTGGAGAAAAGGAGGCGTGGGGGGACCCTCTGCCTGTCCACAGCTCCTGCCAGGAGGGGACAGCCAGGGGGTCGGGCTCTGCTCCCAGGAACAGGGACAGGAGGAGAGGGAAAAGCCTCAGGCTGGGCCAGAACAGGCTCAGCTTGGACACCAGCAGGAATTTCTTCATGGAAAGGGTTGTTCATTGGAAGGGGCTGCCCAGGGAGGTGTTGGAGTCCCTTGGAGGTGTCCAAGGAACACCTGGGGACAAGGTGGGGATTGGGCACAGGCTGGACTCCATGGTCTGGGAGGGATTTTCCAGCCTGGACAATTCTGTGATTTGGTCATTGTCTGGACCCAAAGAAGAAACCAGATTGTGTCCAACTTTATAAATAAACACTGAGAGCTGCAGAGCAAGGCACAGCCTCCAGCTGCCAGGTGATCCCCTCTCCTGATGCACCTGCACCCTCTCCAGTGGCTCTGTCACTCCACAGCACACAGGCTTCAACCACGTGGGCCTGGAGGGAAACCAGAGCTGAATTCCGAGCAGCAGAACCAACCAGCTGGAACAAGTGCATTTCAATGAAGTGTCTTCTTTGGAGCTGGTTCAGCCCAACCTTTGTACATTGCCCTGCAAATGCCACGAAGTCTCTGCTGTTATTTTGAGCTGGGATAAAGCCCTTAGAGATTTTCATAGAACAACAGAATCACAGAATATTCTGACTGGAAAGGACCCACAGGAATCATCGAGTTCCACTCCTGGCCCTGCACTGATCCCCCAACACTCCCACCCTGGGCATCCCTGGGAGCATTGTCCAGCCTCTCCTGGAGCTCTGGCAGCCTCGGGGCTGTGCCCATTCCCTGGGGAGCCTGGGCAGTGCCAGCACCCTCCGGGGGAAGAACCTTTCCTGATACTCACCCTAAATTTCCCCTAGTACAACTTCATGCCATTCCCTTGGGCATTACTATTTTGTTACTGTTTATTCCCATTTCATTTCCAGCTCTCAACAGTCAGGACACCACTCTCAACCTCCTCAAAACCAGAGGACAAAAGCAGTGAGTCTTGAAGGATTTTTTGTCCCCACAGCCAAGGGAACCAGAGATTTGGCAGAAGGTGCACAGTTTGCAAAGCCCTGGTGCGCGGTCCCCTCGGGGCAGCAGCAGAGCGGTGGCTGCGGTACCACCGTCACCTCCTCCTCCGAGGTCTGGGTGTCCCTGCAGCCTTCGCACTCAAACTGCTCAAGCGCCCCGACCCCGCTCACCCTTCGGGACGCGGAGTGAGGCCCGTGACTGAAGGAAACCCGCGCCTCCCCGGGACCTGCCCGAACAGACCCCCCGGCACCCCGAACTGCCCCAGAGGAGCCCAGCGCAGCCCGTGCCCCCGGCTGCCCACCGTGGCCCGCCATCCCGTCCGCCCCTCGGCGGCAGAAGCGCGGCCGTGAGGCCCGGCAGAGCCCGCACAGCCCGGCCCGGGGAGCTGCCCCGGGACACCGGCACCCCCCGAGCCCCGGCCGGGCCTGCCCGCCCCCTCCTCCCGCCCCCGGCCCCGGCATCTCTGTCCGCACGGCAGCCCGGCCGCCCCAGGCCCTCCCGCCGCTCTCGGCCCCACAGACCCCGCAGCCTCTCCCCGCTCCCCTCAGCGCCCAGGGGCCGGGCCCGGCAGTGCCACTGCAGGCCTCACCTCCTCCAGGAACCGGGTGACATCGTAGACGCGCCCGTGGATCACCAGCCAGGCCTCACGGCTGGAGTTCCGCTTCGCCACCTCCTCCAGGGTGAACACGGGCGCGGGCCCGTCCCCGCCCGCCGCCGCCGCCGCCGCCGCCGCCGCCTCTCCGCGCCGCCCGCCCTCCATGCTGCCCGGCGCGCCTCCGCGGAACGCGCGGCCTGACCCGCGCCGCCCGCCGTAGCGATGGCAACGCCCCGCGTGGTCTCCGCTGCGCTCGGGGACCAATGGGGAGCAAGTCAGAGGGGGGCGCTGCCGGCGCAGCCAATGGGAGGGCGCGGCAGCGGGCGTGGGCCAATGGGGAGCGGCCGGGGCGAAAGGCGGGAAACGGCGCCCGAGCGTCGCCTCTGAGGCGGCACCGGGATCGGCGCCCTCAGCCCCGGGCCCGCCGGTCCCGCTCCTCCCTCGGCCCCGGGCCCGTCTGTCCCTGCTCCCCCCTCAGTCCCCGCTCCCTTCAGGTCCCCACTCCCCCAGTACTGGCTCCCTGTTACCCCGTGCCACCGGAGAGTGCAGCGCCCCTCAGCAACCCGCCCTCAGCTTTTCCAGCCCCTTGCAGCTCCTCCTGCATGTCCGTGAAACAGGTGTGACCCACAGCCCTCGGAAGCGGCCGGTGGCGGTGCAGCACGTCCCCAGCTGCTGAGTGCCCAGGCTCAGAGCAAAGCTCACGCCCAGCCTGACGAGGTGGGTAATTCTCCTCCCTCCAGCCGCGCTGAGCAGGGTCAGGCTCAGAGGCCGCTCAGAAGCTCAGGGACACGAGCAGCTCACAAAGCCGATGGTTTCCCTTTGGGAACTGGCGTTTGTGGAGTTTATTTCCTTGCGCTTGCACAGGTGCATGTTTGTTTAACAAGTGCTGAGGAGGAGAACCCGTGCTGTCAGTGCTGAGCTGTGGCCAGCACTGGCTGCAGGTTGGAGGTGTGGGCAGGGAGAGTGCAGCGGGCTCACGGCTGGGCAGCTCACAAATCCCTCTGCACCCTAAAGGGAGCTCAAGGGAAGTTCTCTTGAACTTGCACAAGTCCATACATCCACCAAGCCAGATACTGGGATGTAAAAGGCTCAGCCGCTTCTGAAACCTCTCCACAGTCACCTAGTCAATATTAAATATTAAATATTAAATATTAAATATTGAGCTGCTGCTCCTTTTGATCCTTTCTGTCTACCTTTTCCCAGTCATCAGGGCTGTTTCCCTTGCTCTGTGTGTAACCCAGGATCCTCTGACAGTGAAGTGTTTCCAGCTCCTCCTTGTGCCCAGGCAGCCCTGCTCTTGGCACCTTTCCAAACCAATGTCTTTCCTTCTAGATCCTTCCCTTTCCTTCTGGATCCAGCCCAGCTCCAGTGGGATGAGTTACCTTTGCTCAGATTGCTTCAGAGTTTCTGTCATCTATTGCTGGGCTTCTTAACAGGTGCCTTTGTGCTTCCTTCTGTCCGTCCCTCATGCCTGGAGGGTTTCTCTGTGTGTTTTCAAAGTAATCTCACCACCCTCCTCCACATTTCCCTTGTCCCCTGCTCCCTGCTCCCTGGTTTTCTGTGGCTCTCCCCTGCTTTTCTAAGGCCAGAATGGTCTTGGAAGGGGCCTTGGAGCTCCCCCAGTGCCCCCCTGCCATGGCAGGGACACCTTCACTGTCCCAGGTGCTCCCAGCCCTGTCCAGCCTGGCCTTGGCATGCCAGGGATCCCGGGCAGCCCCGGCTGCTCTGGGAGCTTTGTCCTGTCTGGTGCTCCAGCACAGCGAGAGCAGAGCCTGCTGACAGGCACCCCGGTGGTTTTCCTGCTCTGTTTCCTGCTCTAACTCCTCCAGAAGGATGTGACAGGCACGAGACCACGGCAACATGCAGATCCTGTTCCCTGGAATATTTTCTTTCATCTGTAATCACTTCATCAAAAGCCATAAATCAGTGAGGGGAGGCTCCAATGCACAAGCACGGCTGCAGTTTGTGCCTTCCTGCCCAGTGTTTGGTTTGGCACCTGGAACTCCAAAGCTTTTCCTGGAAAACTGATGGTGACACCACAGGAGGACTCAGTGAAACTGGACAGTGAGGCCACTGGCATTCCTGGTCCTGCTTCCACCATCCCTGGTTCCTCTTTGTTCATTGGAGACAATTCAGGGAGCAAAGCTGGGTTCATTTTTGTATTTTCTCTGGAATTCACCGTTCCAGGCTTGTCTGCAGTCCTGGCTGCTGTTAACACACTTGGCTAGGGCAGACCCTGAAGGGGTGCGGGAGGGAAGCCTGGCTGGGCTGCCAATGCTGTGCCCTCCCCAGCTCCAGAAACATGGGAATTGTCACCTCCTCCAGCTCTGCTGGGGGATCACAGTTCCTGTGACACCTGTCACGTCACCACCCCGTCCAAACCCTCCCAGGAGCTGCAGAGACCTCGTGGATCTCACGGGCAGCCTGGCAGGACGGGAGGCGATCTCCTGAACATCCAAAGGGGCGACACCTTCACCAGAGGGCACTGGAGGAGGAGATGGCAGCCCAGAGGGAGCAAACGGAGGCACGGGGAGTTCCCCAAGTGAAACCTGGCTTGGCCAAGGCAGGTGGCTCTCGAGTGGCTTTGTCCTGGAGTCTCAGAGAGGAATCTTGCTTTGCTTCCCTTGGGAGAGGACTCCAGGACTCCCTTTCCTGACCTTTGTGCAAAAATGAATGAAATTGCTCAAAGTGCTAAAACCTGTGCAGGGCCAGCGGGATCTGCTGAAGTGGCTGGCACATCCACGTGGAGCCACCGAGGGGCCAAAGTGACCGAGCTCCCTGAAAACCACGGGATTTTCTGCCCAGGAGAGCAAAGGCAGTGCCTGAAGGGCTGTGAGCAGGACTGGGGCTGATCAGCCCCTGCCTGCATGGAGGGGACAGAGCTGAAATCCCAGGGTCCCACCCTGCCACCTCCTCCTGCTTCTTGTGACAGAGAAAGAGCAAAACCACTCTGTCCACGAATATTCCACGTGGAAAAGGGTTTGGGCCAGAGCATGGCAGGGGTCCCCTCCCCTCAGCCCAGGAAGCAGCTGTGGGTGTCGCATCCCTCTCACATTCCAAGCCGTGTCCCGCTCCCACCCTGCTCCCCAGGGCAGTGCCCCAGCCCCGGGTGACCCTTCTGCCTCACACAGATTATTTTTATCTTCCTTTGTTTGCCAATAAAAATCCCTCCCAGTTTTTCTGTTTTCCATCTGACACACGGATTTTTCCCATGTGTGTTTCCTCCTCTCCTGGCCTGGGGCAGAGGGAAGGGAGGATCCCAGATCACCTCATGCCAGAGGAATTTTCACGTGCTTTTCCATCTCAGGTGAGAGAGCCTCCAGGACAGCGTTAGGAATGTCCCCTGGGCCAAGCAGGACACCCCAGAGTGGCAGAGAACCACCCCATGATCCCGAGGATCAGCTTGCCAGCGCCTTCGCCTCCAGGCACCGGCTCTGCTTGGGAATTAGCGAGATCACCGGGAAGACAGGACTTGTAATTCATCACCCCAGGTCTGAGCGCCTGTGGGACAATCTGTGCCCCGAAACCCTGCCCAGGGGACCTGGTTTGTGTTCCAGGTGAGGGGGTTGGCGGGTGGCTGCAGCACAGAGCACCGGGGAGCGGGGGCTGTTCGGCAGACCACGGAAAAGGCAAAAACCAGGGTGGCACTGCCGGGTTCGGGTGACGCGAGTGTAACCCACCTCGGCCTGCCCAGGTGACACACCCGCTCAGGGCCCTCAGCACTTGCAGGTGGGCGTTTCACTGCTGTGGGTCCCGTCGGACGGGCAGCGGCCCGACCCCGAGCCCCCCGGGACCGGCCGTGCCCCCGGGACCGGCCGTGCCCCCGGACCGGCCGTGCCCAGGGACCGGCCGTGCCCCCGCCTGCGCCGGTTCCCGCTGCCCTTCCCGCCGGGTCCCGCCCATTCCCCTCCCGGCCGCCAGAGGGCGAACAACGCTTACCGGCGGGTTTGGCGCGATGCACGCCGGGAGCTGTAGGCGTGGCGGAATGTGCGCGATGCACGCCGGGAGCTGTAGGCGAGGAGCCCGCCAGATAAAGCCGCGCGCTGAGAGTCCGACGGTGTCGCGTTGGTGTCGTCACTTCCGGCGCGCTGGGGCCTGTCGCGATGGCGGCGCGGCGGCGGGAGCGGGAGCGGGACCCCGAGCCCCAGCGGGCCGGGATGGCGGCGCTCCCTGAGAAGACCGTGAACGGCTGGGTCCTGCAGTTCTACTTTCACCGGGCCATAGAAGCCTACCGCTCCGGGCGCAACCGTGATTTCCGCCAGTTCCGCGACATCATGCAGGGTGCGCGGGGCCGGGCCGGGGAGCGGCGGGGCCCGGACCGGGCTGCACCCCCCTGACCCGCCGTTTGTCCCACAGCGCTCCTCGTGCGGCCGCTGGACAGGGAGCCGGACATGGCGCAGATGCTCCGCATAATGCAGCTGCTGTCGCGGGTCGAGGAGGGCGAGAACCTCGGTAGGCGGCCAGCCCTTCCCGCGGGCTCTGCGGGGCCCGGTGCTGCTGCAGCCCGCTCCTCCTGCCCCCGTCCTGTGTCCGAGTCCCCGCAGCTGTGTCCCTGCACAGAGCAGGGCCCCGGGGCTGTTCCTGTGTCGCCGAGAGCAGCAGCCGGGGCAGGCAAACCCGTGAGCCTGGTGACTCGTGCTCGGCCTCAGGGCTTCCAAAATGCTGCCCTGGGTCAGGGTGGGCACCTGGGACTGCCTCAGGTGCTCCTCCAGAGTTTCCCGAGGCTGTTGGGGGCAGGAATTGCAGTTGAGGCACCCGTGGGGTTGTGGCACACCCGTGGGGTGGATGGCTGCACCTGTGCAGGTGAACTACCAGCTCTGCAGGGAAGGGCTGTGACCCCCCAAATGTACAGATGCAATTCTTACAGATTGCACCTTCGACAAGGAGTCAGAGCTGACCCCCCTGGAGTCGGCCATACTTGTCCTGGACTTCATCCGTGAGGAGTTCTCTGTGGCTGACAGGACCATGGAGGCTGTGCAGAAGATGGTGAAGGAAGCTGTAAGATCTTTTTCTTTCTCAGTAAATCCGTGGTGCAGCTTTTATCTCATGTGGGTGATGGTGGGAGCTGCCTCACGTGTGGGGTTCCCTCTTTGCAAGCTCATTCCTGCAGTGCTGGGGGAGTTCTGAGGGGAAGCTGGCACCCAGCTGCTCCCTGTGCCCTGCTTCAGTCTGTGCTTTCCTCTGCAGGCTGTTGTGGTTTGCATCAGAAACAAGGAGTTTGAAAAAGCTTCTGATATTGTCAAGAAGCACATGGGGAAGGAGCCCAGAAACCAAGTGAGTCCGTGCTGGAATGAAGTGGGAGCTGCTGGTGTGTCCAGAGGGGGTCTGATGTGTGCTGGGAGGTTCGGGGTGAGGCGGCCAAAATGGAAACAATCCTTCTGGAGTGCTGAGTGCTGCAGGTCTGGATTGTCACCTTGGAGCCCCCTCTGTCACTCAGCTTTCCTCACACCTTCCCTCACACCGGCCTTCCAGGCATCACCATTTATCCCTTGGTGAGCCTCCAGCTCCCCTTCCCAGCAGGTTCTGGGAGGTGTTCCCATTCCTGCTCCTGCAGGGAGCTTGGGCACTGCAGGCAAGGAGAATTCCTGAAATGAGGTGGTTGTGCTGCTCCTTGGCTGCTCTCCTGTTCCTCTGGCCTTTTCCCAGGCTCATCAGGTGTTAATTGGTTGTGCCTGGAGAATGCCAAGCAGGAAGGGCCCAGTCCTTGCCCCTGTCCTTGCTGTGGCTGTCACTGCTTCCCCTGTCCCTGCCCAGAGCGTTCTTACCTGATCCTCTGATCCTGAATCTCTTCTCCAGAAGAAGAGGAATGAGTGGCTGGCTGTCATCCGGGAGAAGAATCCCTCTCATCCAAAGGTCAGAAACTTCTCCTACGAGGACTTCCAGCAGAGCATCTTCGAGTTCCTGAAGGGCTACATGGACGACTCGGAGCCGGCGCTGCTGACGGTGCGTGCTGCCTGGGACTGCAGCAGGGGACACTGCAGCACTCAGTTCAGCCATTCCTGAGGGGTTTAGATGGTCAGACAAGTTGTTCCATCCATGGAACGCCTTTGGGAGGGGATGGAATGGAATGGGAGTGCGAGGGATCATCTCTCTAATGGTGCTGTGCTTTTTCTGTCTTCAAGCTATTGAAGAAGACTTTGGATTCGGAGCACAAAGCCAAACCCTCGCTGGGGACTTCGGAGTTTGCAGATGGGCTGCACGAGCAGGCAGCAGCTCCAGAGGCCTCAGCAAGGGCAGAGAGCCCAGCCAGAGCTCCAGAGCCAGCAGGAGCAACAGAAGACCTGGAGGGAGCTCCCAGCCCTGCAAAAAGGGCAGCTGGTCCCACAGCAGCTTCAGAGATTATGGAAGAAGCCAGTGGCCCTGCAGCAGCTGTGGAACCTATGGAAGTAGTCACTGACCCAGCAGCAACGCCTGAACATTTAACAGCAGCATATGATACCCTGAAGGGCACTCCAGAGCCTATGGAAGTAGCTAAAGAACCAGCAGCAGCAGCCCCAGAACTCCCCAGGGTGTCCACCAGGGAACCACAAAGGTGGGCAGAGGAGTCTGGCTCTAGATTGTGGATGCAGTTGGCCTCAAGTTCTCTTCCAAGGGGTAATCCCCTGTCCAGGCAGCTCCTAACTCCCCAGATGCCTGCCCAGGCCAGCCCAAAGGTGGATCCTGGGAAGGGTGCTGAGGTGGTTTGGTTCAGTTGCTGACAGGAGGTGCTGCAGTGACCAGGGAGAGAGCAGTGGCTGCTCTTGTGGAACAGAGCAGTGTTGGGAATGGCAGCAGGCAGTGGAGCAGGAATGTGTGTTCCCCACACCTGCTGCCTGGGACACTGTGCCATGAGGGAGGGAGTGCTGGAGGGCTGGGAATGCCCCCTTCCATGGATTTGCACTGCAGGGCCAGGAGCTGGGGATGCCAGTGGAGGGCGAGGCTGCATTTCAGGGCAGCAGAGCTCTCTTGGTGGTTTCCCTACAACCCTCCTGGTTGTGTTTATTTTGTAGGCAGCCCCCTGGAGCTGTAACCTCGTGTGGGATTTCTGTTCTGAGAGAAGCTTTCAAGATCCTGTCGGACTCCGGGGACTCGGACGCCCTTTTCAGCAAACTGGATGAAACAGACTTGCCTTCCCCCAAGCAACTGTCTCCTTCTGTATCCCACAGAACCAAGAGATGCAGAGAAGTGGAGAATCAAGCTTCTGAGACCTCAGAGCCTACTGCAATACCCCATAACATCAAAAACTTGTTCAGCATAAGCAATCTGATCGTGGAGTTGGACGGCTCGTCCAGCAAGTCGAGCGAGTGCCCCGACTCTTCCCAGGAGCATGTGGTCTCTTCTGCTTCCAAACCTGCTCCAAAACTGCCTGATGAGCCCCTGTCTGCCCAGAGTGAGAAGTATGGAGCCCCTCTCGTGTGGTATTGTCTGCTCTGCCCCCAGACTTGTCCTGCTAATGTTGGTAGCCTGAGCACCAATCCCTTGCCCTGTGTCCCAGGATGAGTGTTGACCTTGCCTGCCAGCCCGTGTGGAACTGGGCACAGCAAACCCTCTCCTTTTGGCTTTAAAATTAATTATGGGTTAATGAAGAGGAGAAAATTATCAGGTCCTGCTGCTAGTGAGGTGCTGCAGCTGGTCCTGGCGGGTGATTCCAGTACAGGGAACATGTGTTTTTCCACACTTCTCCCAGCTTCAGCATCACTGGCCTGTCTGTAGGAGCAACCTTCTCTTACTTCCCACCTCTTAAGAAATACAGTGTCCAGAGGCTGGCTCTGCTTGCTTGGTGGCCCTGCACCTGCTCCCCAAAACACCTTCTCCTGAGCCAGTAGCCAAAGTAATTGACTCTCACCTAATTTCAGGTCTTTCCAAGGAAGGTGGAACAGCTCCTGTGGCACGGAGGAGAAGGACAGTTGGAGTGATGAGGATGAGCTCTTTGCAAATGCAGGTATGAGAATCCCCTGGCAGGGATTACCTCGGCCAATCCTGGCACGGGGGTCACTCCCAGGGCCCTTGCTGCTGCCTGAGTGACTGAATTTTGAAACCAGAAATCCAGTGGAAAGGCTGGGATAAAGGAATTGGGTGTATTGCCTGTCACAGGGTGCTGACTGCACAGCTTAGCAGTTAAGCCCAAGGCAGGGAGGTCTGTACCTCCCAGATTATGGGAAATGTAACTCTCTACCTTGTTTTCCAGCATCACTTGAGAAAAACAAAGTCTCCAACAACTCCAGCTCCAAGAAACAGGTATGTGGAGCCTTAGGTGCTTCCAGCAGGCCCTGCAGTGGGGCAGTGTCCCTACAGCCTCCAAGATAAAAGAGGCTGGAGCTGTGCCTGTCCTGCCTGCAGGGCACTGGGAATGTGCCTCAGGTCCCTTTGATGGTTTAAAGTAAGGTTTGCCAAATTCCCCTCATGCTGGAGAGGTTGTTGTTGAGGTAGGGACACACATCTGGCAGCTGTTACCCAGGAACAGGTCCCACGTTGGTGCCACCAGGAGCTCTCCTCCTGGCCTGTAGGAAGGAAGCTGCTGCACCACATCTGCAGCGCTGGAGTGTTGTGTGCAGCTGCCAGGACCTGTCTGCCTTCCCTGCCATTCCTGGAACGGGTGGAGAGGGAAGGAACTGGCAGCAGGCTCCCTGCCATGCAGCTGCTTCCTCGCTCTTTGTAGAAATGGACCATGGAGGAGAGCGAGTGGATCAAGGAAGGGGTGAAGAAGTACGGAGAAGGGAGGTGGAAAACCATCTGCCTGAAGTTCCCCTTCAGGAACCGCACGTCAGTGATGATCAAGGATCGCTGGCGGACCATGAAGAAACTGGGAATGCTCTGAAGCTGGGAGCCACGCGACTTTCTTTTTGGATTTTGGGCCTTGGTTTGTTTTTGGAAGCTGGACCAGAGTGCAGTCTGTGCCAGTGTGGGAAGGCCCTCTGACACCAAAACCATGAGTGAAAGGAACCCAGGAGCCGTGTGCTCCAGCTGTATCTGCCAAGATCAGCGTGCTGCACATGGCAGGGGCTGTGCAGCCTCTCAGCATGAATTTAGACTGAGACTTCCCTGTCCACCTGACCAGTGCAGCCTCTGGAATGAATCCCAGCTGTTTGCTCTGCTCAGGTGTGAGCAGAGGATGATCTCATAGGTACCTATTTTTTGGTGTTGTCTGTTCACTGAATCACTTGTTTCATCTGTTTGCCATCACTCCCTTGTGGAACAGGCAGCACTGAGTCCCAGCACTTCTGTGGGGAAGAGATCCAGGCAAGAGGATCTACTTGGGTTTTTTTTTTTCTTTTTCCCCTATTCATTAATGGGGGAAAAATGTGTGAGGAGAAATTCCTCCCTTCCAGCTCTGAGGCTTTAAAAAGATAAAATTACTTTGTGTTTCAGTACTTGGAACTGTTGGTTGTTTCCATGCTAAAATTTTTAGTTCTATCTGATTTTGGTCACGTTTTCTTTGGACTTTTCCTGGTAATACCCTTGCTGTGTGTGAGCTCCAAGGGTGCCACACGTTCCTGCCTTCAAGTGCCAAAGCTGGAACAGTCATTTGTAAAATAAAGCTCCTTTCTTGTTTAATATCAAGAGTTGTGAAAGTGTGAATTTCTGCCTCATCTCGGGGACTGTGCCCTTCTTAAGGCAGTATCATGGAATTGTTTGGGTTGGAGGGATCTGAAAGCTTATTTCCTTCCATCCCCCACCCTGGGCAGGGACACCTTCCACTCTCCCAGATTGCTCCAAGCCCTGTCCAGCCTAAGGGTTGGCAATTGCAGGGATGGGGCAGTCACAGCTGCTCTGGGCACCCTGTGCCCAGTTCTCCACTGGGATATTCTTCCCCACTCCCACAGGGAAGAATATCTTCCTAATATAACCAATCTAATCTCTGTCATCAATCCCATGCATTTTTTAAACTACCTGGTTTAAACCCATGAAGTGGTGCTGGGAGCTCTGGCATTGCTGGAAGCTCTGCCCTTCACTGCCTGGCCAGAGGCTGTGGCACAGCCGAAGGCCTGGCACAGCGTGTCCCTGAGCTGTCCCCTTCCCACAGGGAAACTCCAGCCCTTTCATCTCCTGTTTACACTGAGCTGGCTGAAGGAGAGCCAGGGCAGAGCTGTGCCCGGCAGTGGCAGCTTTCCCCTGGCTCTGTGCTTGGCAGGAACACGTCCTCAGGGCTTGGCACAGCTCCATCCCCGATACAAACAGTGACCCACAGATTCCCCTGGGGTGTTCTCTGCCTCCAGGTCCAGCGGGCCACGGGGATTGGCAACAACAGGAACATCCTGGTCACAGCGAGAGACCCCAATGGCTTCCAGCTTGGAGTGTCCCAGGACGTGCGAGGACAGATCAACTTCGTCACCAAGGACACAGGTGAGCCCCAGCCCCTGCAGCAGCTGAGCCTGCCCAGCCAGGGCTTCCCAGAGCACTGATTGCTCCTGCAAGGACAGGAGGAGTGCTGAGCACTCAGGATATGCCTCCCTGGGCCCAGGGACCAACAACCCCCTTCCCTCTGCAGGTTTCTACCAGCTCTGCCTGGACAACCAGCAAAACCACTTTGGCTTAATGCAGGTGTATCTCAACTTTGGTGTGTACTATGATGACTTCAACATGGAGCACAAGCAGCCAGCAGAGAGGAAGGAGCTGAATGACACCCTGGAGGCAATTGGGGTGAGGGTCAGAGGGGCCATATGTGCCCCAGCAGAGCAGGGATGGGCAAGTCCTGCCCAGGACATTGAACAGGGCCTTTGTTTGGGCTGAGCTGCAGCTGAGTGCAGCACTGAGTGCAGCACTGAGCCCCAGGGGCAGCTCTGAGCACGGCTCTGCCTCTCCTGCAGATGAGTATCCACAGGCTGCAGACCCACACCTTCCACATGTGGCGCTTCTACAACTTTGCCCGGATGAGGAAAGGGGCTGACTTCTTCCTCCTGGAGTCCAACTACAACTACATCAACTGGTGGTCCATGGCCCAGAGCTGTGTCATTGTCCTCTCCGGGGTGCTGCAGCTCTGCTTCCTCAAGCGCCTCTTCCACGTGCAAACCTCGGGCAGCCAGAAGTGCTAGAGCAGGGCAGGGACCCCCCTGCAGAGCCAGGTCACCTGGCTGCCACTCTGTCCCACCACAGAGTAGGAGCAAAGGCTGGATTCTGCTTCCAGGAGGAGGTTGGAGAGTTCTCCCTGCTCCTGCCTCAGCTTTAGCCCTGGCATCACCCCAGGAAAAGTCAAAGGCCACACTGTCACCTGAGTTCTGTGTGCTGTGTGGGTTTGTCACGTCCCTACCCATCATTAGTGTCTTAATGGGCCTTTTCTACCAGACTCCCAATAAAGGAACCCCCAGCAGAGTCTGGGGAGCAACTGGTGCCTGCTAAAGCCATCCTGACTCTGTGAGACTAAAAGCTGCTGGGCTCTCCCTCCCCTGAAGCTTGTCTTCATACTCTGAGGCTCCCCCCAGCCTCATCAGTCCCCCCAGACACACCCCAGTGTGTCACATTCCCCATAGGAGGAGCAAGGACTGATTCCCTCTGGACCCCCACACCAGACAACAGGCACTGAAAAAAAGGATCAGGCTTTATGTGACAGGGCTGGGGCCAGGGCCCCCCCTCCCGTGCTGGCAGCAGCTCCCTGAGGGCTCTGTGCTGGCAGCTCCCCACGTTTCCCTCCCACTCTGCGTGGGCTTCCCGCACCCACGGTGCACAACAAAGTCCATTCCAGCCCGGCACACTCACAGAGCAGAGTCCCTGGGGTGCCCGAGGGTCCCTTATGTCAGCGTGTCCTCGTTCCGCACGTACTCCCCAACATCAGCCTGGTGGAACACCACGATGGCCAAGGGGTCGACCTTCCGGCACTCCTGCGTGGACTTGGCAGCCACCCCGAAGCCCTGGGGGGTGAAGGGGAGGTGAGGGAGGGTCGCCCAGCCCGTATCCCCCCACGGGGCTGGCGGGGGCCAGGCGCTCACCAGCGGGACGTCGGCCATGGAATACACCACGACACCCTGGTACTGCGCCGTGTTCTCCGTGATGCGGCCCAGCCCCGACTTCAGCACGTGGTTCCCGTAGAGGAAGGACTGCTCCGAGCCTGGCTTCACCCACACCTTGTACTGCAGGAGAGGGGCAGGGCTGTGAGGGGCTGGGGGGCTGTGAGGGACAGTGGGGCTGCGAGGGGCTGGGGAGCCCTGCGGGGCAGTGGGGCTGTGAGTGGCCACAGGGCTCTGAGGGGTAGGGCTGTGAGGGGCTGGGGGGCTGCGAGGGGCAGGGCTGTGAGGGGCTGGGGGGCTGTGAGGGACAGTGGGGCTGCGAGGGGCTGGGGAGCCCTGCGGGGCAGTGGGGCTGTGAGTGGCCACAGGGCTCTGAGGGGTAGGGCTGTGAGGGGCTGGGGGGCTGCGAGGGACGGCGGGGCTGTGAGGGACAGGGCTGCGAGGGGCAGTGGGTGTGTGAGGGGCCGTGGGGCTTTGAGGGGCTGCAGGGCTCTGAGGGGCAGTGGGTGTGTGAGGGCTGAGGGGCTGCGGGGCTCTGAGGGACCGCTCGGGGCCGAGACCCACCTTGGCGTAGGGCGCCAGGAAATCCAGGGCCGTGACGCTGAGCCGGAACTTCTGGGACTTGGTGAACTTCCCGAAGCAGGTGCCCGGGGCCACCAGGCTCTCCCGGGGGACGCTGGCCGCCAGCTTCAGCAGCTTCTCACTGCGGGAGCAGGGCGGTGCTGGGCACGGCCGGGCCGCACCGGGGCCCGCCCGCTGCCCGCGCGCCCGGCGCTCACCTCAGGTAGTACACGCGGTCCCGGTGCAGGCGGAAGCAGTAGGTGCCATCGGGCCGGTCCACCAGCAGCTGGATGTTCTCCCCGATGCTGCAGGGACAGAGCCGTGAGCCCGGCCCGCCCCTCCTGCCGCCGTACCGGCCGTGCCGGCTCCCGCCCGATCCCCGGTGCCACCACACCCTCGGTCTCCCCGTTCCGCGGGACCCAGCCAGCCCAGCCTTGCCGGTGCCCATCCCTTCTCCGCGCCCGGTCCCGCCCGGTTCCCGTGCTCATTCCTGCCGGTCCCCGTGCCCGATCCTCCCGGTCCCGGCCCCTCACTATTTCCCGAGCTTCTCGAACACCGCCCGCGTCTCCGCCTCCGTGAGCGGCCGCATCTCCCGCGCCGCGCACGCGGGGCCGCCGGGGCCGGAAGTAAGCGGACCGGAACCGGCGGTAGCGGAAGTGACGGACCCGGAACCGGCGGGCCCGGAGGTGACGCGGCGGAGGCGATGGCGGCAGCGGCGGAGGAGGCGCGGCTACTGGCCTGGCTGCGCGGCCCAGCGGCGCCCGGCGGCCCCGAGCTCGCCGCTTATGTGTCGGAGCTGGCGGCGCTGGGGCTGGCGGAGCTGGGCCGGGAGCCGGCGCGGTTGGCGGCGGAGCGGGCGCGGGTCGGCGCCGAGACGCGCCGCCTCGCCTTCGAGCACTACCGAGCTTTCATCCGCTCCGCCGAGTGCACCGGCCGCGCCGGCCGCGGCTTCGGCGGCATCGAGAGCCGCCTCGGCAGCCTGCTGGAGCGGCTGCCCGCGCTGCAGGACGCCTGCCGGTGCGGGACGAGCGGCGGGCAGGGCGCGGGTGGAAACGGGGCAGGAAGGGCTGGGGATAGGCTGGGCTGGGGAGCGAGAGGTGCGGAGCCCACTGAGGGTCGGGCCGGCTGGGACTGGGCAGGAGGCAGCGCTGGGAGCGGCCGGTGGGTGGGAGGGTCCCCGGATCCGCCCGCTGCGGGGAGCGCTCTCCTGCTGATGCCGCCCCGGCCCGCAGGACCTTCATGCGCGATGCCGAGGCCATCGCCTGCAGCCGGCGCATGAACAGCCTGACCCTGAACCGGCACACGGAGATCCTGGAGATCCTGGAGATCCCGCAGCTCATGGACACCTGCGTCCGTAACGGCTACTACGAGGAGGCGCTGGAGCTCACGGCCTACGTGCGCAGGCTGGAGAGGAAGCACAGCAGCATCCCCGTCATCCAGGTGAGCCCTGCACGTCTTTGCCCCGTGACTGAGCGAACCCCATGTTGTCCCACCCTGCGATCCAGGAGACCCCTGGGCCGACCCAGCCCCGTGGCTGCAGCTGCCTGAAGGCTCTCTGCTCCGCAGGGCATCGTGGAGGAGGTGCGGCAGTCCGCGCAGCTGATGCTGAACCAGCTCATCCAGCAGCTGCGCACCAACATCCCCCTGCCCGCCTGCCTGCGCGTCATCGGCTTCCTGCGCCGCATGGACGTGCTCACCGAGGCCGAGCTGCGCGTCAAGTTCCTGCAGGCGCGGGACGCCTGGCTGCGCTCCACGCAGGCCTCCATCCCCGACCACGACCCCTACGTGCACATCACCAAGACCATCGAGGCCTGCCGCGTGCACCTGTTCGACATCGTCACCCAGTACCGCGCCATCTTCTCCGACGAGGAGCCGCTGGTGCCGGCCGAGGCGCCCGGCGAGGGGGCCATCTTCCACAGCTGGGTGCTGCAGAAGGTCTCCGAGTTCCTGCGGACGCTGCGGCGCGACCTGGAGCGCGGCGCGGGCGGCCGGCTGGACTCGCTGCTGGGGCAGTGCATGTACTTCGGGCTGTCCTTCAGCAGGGTGGGCGTGGATTTCCGTGGGCAGCTGGCCCCCCTCTTCCAGCGCGTGGCTGCTGACGCCTTCAGGAAGGCGGTGGAGGAGGCGGTGGAGAAATTCCGGGAGGAGATGAATTCCTACACGCTGATCTCGGCTCCGGCCGTGCTGGGGGGCGGTGCAGGAGTGCCGGTGCCCACAGCCCAGCCTGGGACGCTGCAGCCCCCCATGGTGCTGCTGGACTTCCCACCCCTCGCCTGCTTCCTCAACGGGCTGCTCGTTGCCTTCAATGACCTGCGGCTCTGCTGCCCCATCGCCCTGGCACAGGACGTCACCAACTGCCTGGACAGTGCCCTTGGTGAGGTGAGTCTGGGGGATGGAGCTGGGACTTCTTCTGGGAGATCATGAGCTGGGTGTGTTCTGAGTGGGTTGGGAAAGCCTCTGAGATCATCCAGTCCAACCACTCCCCCTGCACTGCCAAAGTCCCCCCTAACCCATGTCCTCAAGTGCCACATCCACACAGCTGTTAAATCTCCTCGGGGATGGGGACTCCACCACTGCCCTCTGCCAGGGCTGGACAGCTCTTTCCCTGAAGAAATTTTCCTGATATCCAACTTAAACTTTGTGTGGTGCAACTTGAGGCTATTTCTTCTTGTCCTGTCCCTTGTTCTTTGGGAGCAGAGCCCAGCCCCACCCCGGCTGCCCCTCCTGTGGGGAGTAGTGGAGGGTGAGAAGGTCCCTCTCATGCCTCCATTTCTCCACGGTAAGCCCCACAGCTGCTCCTTGTGCTTCAGCTCCTTCTCCAGCTCCATTCCCTTCCCTGGACACACTCCAGCCCCACACTGTGTATCTTGGAGTGTCCCAGAACTGACCCCAGGATTCCAGGTGTGGCATCATCAATGCCCAACACAGGAAGATGGGCACTGCTCTGGGCCTGTGGCCTCACTGCTGCTGGTACAAGCCAAGTGCCATTGGCCTCCTTACCCGTCTGGCACGTGGCTGTCATCAGGTGACCCCTCTGCCTCTCTCTCTCCCCAGGTGACCAAAACCATCCTGGCCTTCCACCGTGCTGAGGAGGCGGCTTTCAGCGGGCGGGAGCAGGAGCTCTTTACCCAGTTTTGCACAGCCTTCCTGGAGGACCTGCTGCCCTACCTGAACCGCTGCCTCCAGGTGCTTTTCCCTCCAGCACAGATTGCACAGGCACTGGGTGAGTTCTCGGGTTTGGTTTTCGTTGCAGGGGTGGACACCCCTGGCACTGAGTGGGCCCTGTCCTGCTCTTGCCCCTCCGTGGGGTCTCGTTGCAGAGCCCCTGACCCCTCTCTCCCCATCCCCAAGGTGTCCCCCCCACGCAGCTGCAGCGTTTCGGCCGCCTGGGCCGCATCGACGTGGCCGCTCTCAGGGAGCCGCTGGCTTTCCTCCTCCCGCCAGCACCGGGTGAGGAGGAGCCGTCCCCGGAGACCGCCCCGGACCCGGAGGGGGAACACGCGGCCGTGCCCACCGAGCCCCCGGAGAGCCCCTCCGCGGAGGCCGCGCTGCCGGGTGCCCCGGTGGCCACGGGCTAGGCGGGCTGCGGCGCGGCCCGCCCGTGTCACCGGCGGGAGCGGCGCCGGGTGCTGGGCCCGCCCGTGCCGCCGTTCGCCGCCCCGGTGCAGGTGGGGGCCCCGGTGCTGCGCGGCGCCGCCGCCGCCGTGTCCCCGGAGCAGCTGGGCGGCCCCGAGCTTCGGCGGCTGGCGGCGGCACTGGCGGCCGGACTGCGGGACCGGCCGTGCCTGGGGCTGAGCGCTCCGCAGCTCGGGGTGCCGCTGAGGGTCTTCGCCGCGGAGCTGGCGCCCGCCCGCTGCGCCCGGTACCCGCCGGCGCTGCGCCAAGCGCACCGCATCGAGCCCTTCCCGCTCCGCGTCCTCGTCAACCCCGCGATCCGCGTCCTCGACACCCGCCTCGTCACCGGCCCCGAGGGCTGCGCCAGCATCCACGGCTTCTCCGCCTACGTCCCGCGGCACTGGGCCGTCCATGTCTCCGGTACGGACCGACCCGCCCTGTCCCGGGTGGGACCCCGCACCTGCCCCTCCCTCACACGGTCCCCTTCTCTTACACGGGTCCCTTCATTCTCTGATGGGTTCCCTGTTCTCTCACAGATCCCACCACTCTCACAGATCCCACCACACGCAGGTCCCCCACTCTCACGGTCACCCTATTCTCTCACAGCTCCTCCCACTCCCACATGGGTTCCCCTTTTTTCCCCTAATCACCCCCCCAACCCACCACTACCCCGGGCGCAGGTGTGGACGAGCTGGGGGTGCCGGTGAGCTGGGAGGCGTCGGGCTGGGCCGCCCGGATCATCCAGCACGAGATGGACCACCTGGATGGGATCCTCTACATCGACCGCATGGACCCCCGCACCTTCACCAACGTGGGCTGGATGGAGCTGCTGGACTGAGCCTGGGGAAAGAACCAGCGCAGCTCTGGGGGCTCCCACTCAGCTTTATTGCAGCCAATACAGACCTGTGGCCTCAGCCTGGCTCCGGCCCTTCCTGCCCACGGGTGTGCACAGGGAGGCAGCCGGGCTCCTGCCCACACTGCCCTGGGCGCTGGGAATTCCTTCGTGGGTCTAGGGACAACCTGCTGCCAAGGCTGTGCAGGGGAGGGGCAAAGGGGGGATCCTTCCCTCTGGGGCTTGTCTGGGGCTCATGGTCACAGCGTGAGCAGCAGCTGGGCACAGCACAGGGGGCACCGGGGTGGGGTGGGGTGGGGGGCAGCGAGGCTGAGGGGAGCCCAGGGACTGCACAGCGGGGCATGGGGGGTGGGCAGGTGGGTGCCACCAGCTGGTGGCTGCTCCATCCAAGTATGGCCCCCTGTAGGCACAAATCCCTGTCTGGGATGGCTGGAGTGTGAGGAACCCCCACCCCCTTGGACAGGCAGAGGCCTTGGCTCTGGGTCATTGCATTTTGGGGGGTGGGGGGGGGCTGGGCTGAGCCCCCTGGTGCGGGCAGAGCCTTGGGGAGTGGCTGGGCACCAGCTGAAGCACTCAGATTGTTTTTATTTTCATATAAACAAGACAGAACCCAAAGCAGCATTAAGTTAAAAAATAAAAAAAGAGCAGGAAGAAGAGTGGAGTGCAGCCAGGGAGAGACCCGGCCGCCCAGGCCATGCTCAGACCCACCCCCCGTAGTGTGACCCCCGGGCCGTGTCCCCGCAGTGCAGTGGGGCAGGAGTGAGCGAACACGAGTCGGTTTGGCACGGCCGGGGAGGGGGGCACAGCAGGGCCTGCAGCTGCCCCAGCCCCACCGCCCCCATGCCCCCCTCAACCTTCCTGTCCAAAGTCCTCCGTGAATTTCTTCACTTTGAGGAGATCCTCGGCATTGACGGTGGGGCGGGTGGTGGCCAGCGAGCGCAGCATGTCTGACTGCAACACAGGCGGGTGGGCACGTGGCTCAGACCAGGGCATGGGATAGGGACCCCCGTAGCAGTGAGGCACCTTTGCCCCATGGCAGCAGCACTGACCACGGGTGG